TGACTCTCTGGTTACTTCTGTTGTCTCGTTGTACCGCATCATTTACAGTGAAGGATGACTTTGAGCAGCAACAAAGTGATGATCGATTCTGCGAAACTCTTAAAACGAACATTCATTATAAAGCGTCGTAAGTCAGACGATACGATCATTAAATCGATCATCGACTTCTCTGCACAAACTTTCCTATATCAGGTGTACTGATGCACGCTTGGATGCTTGGTAAATGTATTCGTAGTAGACAGTCTGTTGTTTGCACTAAGGCGCAACAACCTCCTGCCATTATTTTTGAGGTCAAGGCCGTTCTTTACAGTCCCGCGTTTCCACTTTCAGTGTCTGGTCCAACATGTGCATTGAAATCGTTCCTGATCATGATAGATTTCATAGTCGACACTTCGTACAGAGCACTCCCTGTTCCTCCAGGAAGGATTCATGTCTGCCTCACAATTTAGCTCACTTGACCCATGACAAAGTCAAAAACTGAGCCTGTTGTGTCTTCAGCCAGATGATTGCCCCTATTCTAGTGACAGATGCCGTTCGCTGATTCTGCCAGCATGGTTGGATTATACTAGAACACAAACACCGGCTTGAGTACGCGTTGTGATATCGACACCTCAGTAGAATAGCTTCCACCCCCAGAGGTTCAGGGTTCCAGAGCCTGGGCGTTTCTTTGACGAGAGTCCAACACTGTCGAGTTGGTACTTTATGGCCTCATCAACCAATTCCTGTTCTTTTCCTCTGAGTGAGGATATGTTCCAATTTTCGGCTTTAAGCTCCCACTGGAGATGTCGTTCTCGTGGACCCTTTTCTGACGAGCTATAATGGCATCGGGCTGGCTGCCTCGTCCGTTCAAAACGGGTAGCGACTCCGTTGCTGACTGGTATCTTCGTCGTCGTTGCGTCTATCTTCGTCAGCCGTTACTGTTCTGGTACGCCCCCAGCTGGCAGAAGGCGACGAGCAAGTTCTGATCGCCGACATTCAGCAGTCTGCCTCAGTCCCCCAACAGCCTGTGTTGCTCTTGGTAACCCGGGCGACGACCGAACCGGTAGACGGTTCGTTTTTCGGAGGGATATATGACTACTTTTTACGGGAGATCTCGTCACCGTTCTCAATCCTCCTCTTTTCTCATTCCGGCTTTGAACCAGCAGCGGCTGAGTTCGTGGTTAAATCGTGAAATCTGTGGTAAACTTCCATGCTGCATGTATTAATATGAAATGCTATTTTGCTTGCTGAATAGTACACATTAAATGCTAAAATTTTGTTATACAGAAAAGTACTTTATACAAGATTGTGCATTAACTGCACTCGTCGAGTAACAATGTGGAAGAATAATGAATTCTTGGATTACTAAAACAGTTCTTGTTAGAGGCTCGAATTCATTTTAGGTCACTTTTAGACATTCAGATAGTTGTGGAATGGGGTGTCGATTCGTTGCCTCCTTGGATAACAATGAATGGGCCTCATTTCTTGATCCATTGCTTAAAGCAAATGTTGAAAAGGATTACGCAATTTCCGTTACTCATCGCCGCACACTAATATCTTGACCAGGGTTATAGATTCGGTACACATTCAGTGTATTCAAATCAGCGTGGCTTCTGCGCTATTGATGACATC